CTCCTTATCTCGCCATTCACGCTTTCCTCTTTGCGACCACCCCACTCTCCCGTCCGCACGCTCAAACGTATATAAAAATGGAGTGAAGCACGCGCCTCTCCCTCATACCATTTGCTGGCTTAATGTGTAAATAAATGCTTACCGCACAAATCCCTCGTCTCGTCATTAATTTACGAATTTAAAACTACTACGCCGTGTACTCTCGGCGCAAGAACTGTCTTAGCATTTTCCCACAATTCCCTTGAAGGAGGTCCATTTTTTTTTTTGCTGTAGCACAATGGTAGCCCTCGAAATATACTGCATAAACGCACAAGCTACTATGCAGGCAATTAAAGCACACGGACAAAAGAAAACATTGGCACCAAGAAAACACAACAGAGAAACACGAACTACCAACTGAAATCCATTTAAGAAACCCCAATATTTATAATCATCAGCATGACTACGCCCACTGCAGGTCAAAGGCCTGTGCTTGCGGCTACCCCGTTATTACCTGCACAATTATTAATTAATCTCATCTGCCCACCTTATTTCCTGTCTGGCTCTCACGCGTTTCTCCTCTCCTCGAGTCCGGTCAGTTACCCTTAATGACCAGCGGTTATCTTGCCAACGCACCCAGTCCATTTCTTCCTCTTGATTTCAACTGCGATATCTTTAATCTCCGTTTGTTCCCTGGTCCACTGCTCAGTGCATTGAAGCCACTTTAGGTTGAACCCGCTTGGTAAGAATGAGCAGCGGCATTAATGTTACAGCGACTCACCCACGTCAAGCTGTTCCTAGCTTGGCCATAGAGATTGATTCGGTTCTTTAGTGTCCCGTAGTTCCCGTAGTAAGCATACACCACTGCTAAGAGAGGTCGACGTCATCCAAGAGGGACGGTGTAGCAGAAACATTTCGCTAATCAGTGAGGCTCGACAGGATAGCGAACGGCTCACTAGTACTACACCCCCCCCCCCCCCAAAAAAAGAAAGAAAATGATGGAAGCGGAAGAAACAACAAGAAAAAAAAAGTACATGAAGGCTTGGACACGAGATAAACGATCGTCCTTGGCACGGAAAAAAGCGGCTACAAAAGTGAAAGTAGAGACAACTTCCGCATCGATGTCGTCGACGACTAGACGGAAAGGGCCATCAGCGCGATAAGCGCCAGTCGCCCCGAGAAATATAGAAAAAGGTTCAGCATTTCGAACTAAAAGCTGGCTAGGCGGACGCACCAAAGTCATCGATGCTTTCTGAAAGATGAAAAAAAGTAGAAGAGTTTGGACGGAAAAGGCTAATGGCTGCTGCGGGAAGATTCGACACCGACTCACGAACGTTATCGTGCGGCGGCGACAATGACTACAGCGGTGGTAGTATTGTGGAGGAAGAGAAAAACGAAGCAAGAAAACGCCGTCGCAGGGCGCAAAACTTCGCCCAATAGGAAAATAAAAACGATTAGAACGAGAGACGTCACAAACAGCGAACATATTCGATGTTTGGTGAAAAAAAAAAAAAAAGCCGCCAGAAGCCTCGGCGCCAGATTAAGAAGCCTGCCGAGGGCGGAGGGAGAGATATCGAGAGGCTGGAAATTAACAGCGATGCAGAGGGTGCCGCATCACTTCGTGGGAGAGAAGAGATTAGCGAGAAGTAGAAAGCGGGAAACGCTGATGGAGAAAGAAAAATCCCAAGATGCGATCGCAATTAGCGGAAAAGACGGCAACGTGCGCTTGGACGGCGATCGCCAGGCCACGACGCAACGTCAGGACGGACTTCTCAAAGACGAAGAAGCTAACGAAATAATATTAGAAGAAATCTTCCAGAAGCCGGGTAATTTCCGCGACTCTAAAGAAAAAAATCACTCCGACTTGACACAAAAAATATAGAATTCAAATCCCCATCGGCCATTTACAAGCATAGTATGCACGGCAAGCTCGTCGCACCTCCCCCCCCCCCCTTTCCACATCTCCATTATGTCAATGTATGGGGCTGACTGTGTCGGGGTTAGAGAACGAGGCAAGAAAGAATGTGGACTCATCAGAGCAGTCACCGCGCTTGCACTTGAGGCCACTACCGGGTATTACTTTACTGTCCGCTTCCTCTCCCGCAGTGTCAGAAGGAAATGAAATGTACGAAGTTAACAGAGGTTTAGAAAGAACTGGATTGAATGTATCCTAAACTCGCGGAGCGCCATTCGGAAAGAAGCACCAAAGAAGGTGGGTATGTAGTATACCGCCTTCTATAAAAACGACCTATACTTCCAAGAGGAAGCTGTGGGGACATCGTCACGAAACAATTATCAACGGGCCGAAATCAATCGACACATGCGCAACTCTGACCGCTTCCGCGACCGCTCGTGTAAGAGCTAGTGTAACAATTACGACGTCGATAGATTAACGCGAACTCACAGTGCACGCGTATTCCTATCCTGCAGGAAGAAGCACAGGAACTTCCGGACGCTGTCACGTGACCAGGCGCGGCGCTAGCACAGGATCTCTGGGGAGGGGAGGGCTGAAGCTTCCGCACAATTTTCGTCTGCCTCAAGTATGCCCCCCCCCCCCCCTCCCATGATCGAACATAGCCAAGAGAGATAATGCACGAGTTGCCCGCCTTCCTCCTGCCCTGGGCGAAGAAGAAATTGTCTAGCATGCGCAATACGATCTTATTGTACTTCATTTTAAGCTAAGGCTTAGGCGGACGCTTGTTTTACAGCGAAAGCTGTTATGAGATGACAACTCAGGTCACGCGCGACGCTGTAGTTGTCCGCCGCCGGTGTCCGTAACCACTATTGCACGAAATAGGAAGAAATACCTAGTATTGAGGACACAATGAGACTCAAACACGGGTCCGCTGCGTGCCAGCGCGCTATTCAACCTCTCAGCCACGCCAGTGCTTGGGACTTCTTCCCAAACTTGCCTTAGGCAGGCTTCATGTTGGGAAAGCAATCGCGTTATACGAGTAATAAAGCGTTTGAGAACAGCAAAAGAACAAAGAGGCGTCACGCAGTGCGAATAGCGTAACGAGTGGGTCGTCCAATGCTCCTACCCATTACAAACGCTTGTTCTTGCACTTACTGACTGTGGCGCATATCACTTTCAGGCATAATCCCTCATCGTCTTCAGCCACTGCATGAAAAACTGGCACAAAATTTCTAGCAAGTGTTTAGCGGATAACCCGTTCCTCAGAAGAATGACGAAGGATATAGCATAGCACATGCCGGCCTACTACCCAGAAATTATTATTACTATTAATGCCGTAGTGTGTACCCAGCAAGTGTGCTTGCCGCAGTTACCAAAAGAGTGTTTAGAAAAGGCCCTGAAAGGCCGCTCTTTTAGCTTGCGCTGAGTCTGTGCTGCGCCTTCCGTGCAGGCCTGGCGTTTTTATTTCGGTCATGTATGATCCTCCAGCCTAGCCTGCCTGACGAGTTTAGTCCAATGTTCCGTCGTATTTCTTTCCTCGCTTTGTTCCGAGCCATTAACACAATACAATGTTTTGTTGACACAGGGAGAGACATAAGTACATTATTGCCACGGTGTTCTAGTCATGAGTGACTAACATATGTACAAAAGTGCACCGTAACCTTTAGCCACATAGTTGCATTTCTTTTTTTTTTCCTGAAGATAGCTCAAATCTACAAACTCTGCATCTTGTTACAATATTAACGCTAACCAGGCCCGGGCGGAGCATGCAGTTGACCTGCCTAACAACGTATCATTCATGTGCAGGGTGGCGAATAAACCTATTAAAACGCTTAGTAAAACACCCCGCCCCATGCAGGTGGTCAGACGAGGCCTCTATTCAAAGAACCTCTCCAAAATTACGCAGTTCGTGGGAGCTGATGCGCGAGCCGGTACCAGACCCGTTAATATATATATATATATATATATATATATATATATATATATATATATATATATATATATATATATATATATATATATATATATTATAGGAGCCAGAGTCGTGATGCATATGAAAGGCGCTCTAACGCTTCGCAATATAGACGCTACGGTGCTATGCAGTAGAGGAGTTCACGCGATGGAGACTGAGGGTAGCGAGTATAGCGGGCCAAAAATAAAGAAAAAAGCCGTGCCACGTGACCCCGCATTCAATGAAAAAACGGTGGGGGGGGGGGGAATAAAAGAGAGGAGCCGTTACAATGGAGCGCGCAAGGCTTTAGCGTGCCCTTTGAAGGCGAGTGACATTATACTTCGGCGAGCACAAGGCACGCATAATGTGGCGAAGTAGGCGACGTTGGGCAAGCAACGTACCGAGAGTGAGGTCTTGTGTGACCAGGCTGCGGGGGCAAGCATATTTATTCACGGGACTCCGCGAGATGTTTGCACAGGCGCAAGATGGAAGAGATAAAATGCGACAGGATTTTTACGGATTTCGAGGACGAGGTCTATGAAAATCGAGCGTAGCCTCGCCGCTTGAAAGAACGACTAATCAATGCAGTCACGTGATGAGACGGCCCGTCGTTGTCTTCACAACATGCATCGCCGACACCGCAAGTCAACGGCACTAGTGACGTCATAGGACAGCTACCTTCTAAACCACTCACGAACTGCATTAACATCGCATGTCGGAACCCAGTCACAACGTTTAAGAAGGGAAACGGAACGAATGCAACACGCCCGTCGATGTTAATATGATGTGGCGTAATAGTGCACCGGTTAAGTGCATTCGGGAACATTTTTTGATAAGTACGCGCATGTAGTATCAATGAAGCCACTTCTGAGATTACGAATACCCCTTCTCTATATATCAACCCATTGATCTGTTATCACCATCATTTTACGTTGACAGCTAGTGATAAGCGAGGGCTATCAGTCAATCGTTTTGAATGTCACTATTGTAACCTTCCAGTAACTTTTCTCTAAATACTCCGCGGCATTCTGTGCGGGGGGGGGGGGGGGGGGGACAGCCCCGACGCTGGAGGATCGGCCAAATCCGACGCAGCGAAAAATCACAAATCAGTGTACCACCGCTTTCTACTTCATAATGACGTGCATAATTACTAACCTGCTGCATCTTCTCGAAGTCCAGGCATGGCCGCTGGACGGGTCCGCCGTCGACGAGCGAGAAGACTCCGAACGCCGTGCCCCCTCCGTCCTGCCGGTGGCGCTTGCGCGGGCTCACAGCGCACACCTCGAAGGCAGGGATGTGTGCGGACAGCGTTAGCGTGGTGGGGCCCGACGACGAGGAGGTCGCCGAAGGAGACGAGCCGCCGACCGCACCCGGCGCCGCGTGGAATACCTTCGGCGGCGGGGAGCCGTTGTACGGCCGGTGCACGTGTAGCGGCGGCGAGGCGCGGAATTCGACGGGCGTCGGGGGCACCACCGCAGTCGACGACGAAGACCGCTGGGACGACGAGCGCGCGGAGGAAGCAGCCGCCGAACCGTGCAAGCCGTTCATGACGCCCACTCCTCCGTTAACGCGGCCGCTCCACGTCAGGTCACGAACTTCCTCGTCGTCCTCGTCATCATCGTCGTCCTCGACGTCGTTGCGTCGGCCCACGCCGTTCGCCGTGGCCCGTGAAGAGACGCCGTCCGCTAACGTGGCACCGGACGCCGCCGCATCGCACTCCTCTTCGTCCGAGGACGTGTCGCCGCCGCCGTCCGAGCGGCTGCGGCGTAGCGACGCTGCGGAAGAGGAGGAAAACACGGCCATGTCGGAAATGCGCCATTCGCAAGCCACCGCTCAGACACAGAAAATGCACGTGCGGCTTTTTAGTACGGTCATGGCTCAACAAAGCAATACAAATAAACAATCAAGTGTTATGAATTAACATCGAATAGAACGTCGCTCATGCAACTGTTCCTGTAACGACGTCACGTCAACAACACTTGTGATCTAAACGGCGCGCACCAACCAGAATATTTCAACATCGTGTTGTGCGAGTGAATTTCATGTCTTCTGCTATTTCGTGAGACCGTTACAAGCGATGGGTAATTACAGGCAACATGTAGCGATAAGCGAGCACTACATTGAACAACAAGTGTAATACCAAGTGAAGCAGAGCACGCGCCCAAAGTCACCAGTCAGTTTGTACGCCGGGCTACACTGCAATTATATAGGCGATAGATGTGAAAGTGCGGGGCATATACAGTGCTCGAATTCTATTTTGTGTACAGCGAAGTGTACACTAGCTTGTCTGCGTATGACGTTCTACACAAACTCGTTACAGGCGCCCGTCAGCTTTTCGGAATACGGAAGCACAAAAAAAACTCCAGCATCCCAGACGGATGCGCGAAATGCACACGAACACGAATACGTGAGCCACTTGAACGCGCGTCTAAAGTTGCTGGTTGTGCACCTCGGTCGTATAAACGATATTAACTAACAGACAAAACTGCCGAGCATGTTATAAGTAGTAATTGCAATGCATAAATAAGTGCGATAATATGACATGCGAGGTTGTACGTCCCAAAACCGACCTATGAGAGGCACCATTGTGCAGGGCTCCAAAAATTTTGACCACCTGATGTTGTGCACTGACGTCGCACACGGGCCTCAACCACTTCGCCTCCATCGATGGAACCACCGGGCCACTGATCCACCGAGGCGGACACGAAAGAGGACGAAAACATGACTTGCCATGGGTCGGGCCGAACCTTCAAATTAGAAGGTCGCACGTAGGTCAGGCCTTCAAGAATATGGCGCCTCATCGAACACACAGCCACCGGTACGTGCATCTGTAAGCGTACGTCTAACTGCAAAATCGCTGAGGCAAAACAGTACAGCATTGACGACACTCCCGGCAGACAAAAATCTGTAGACAGTTAATAGTATACTGGGCTTATCGGGATAGCGGGCTTACCGCGATAACGGGATCCAAGTGCGCATGCGCAGATACGTACGTTACCCGTGCCGCTTACCATATATAGTAAACATGGCGGCATTTAACGGCGCCCGCTTCAAAGTCATTCTAGCGTCATTCTTTAAAGATTCAATTTTATCGTACCAAGCGACTTCGCTTGCCTTTAGTTAGCTTCGATGACCAAATATTACGGATAACACAGCGCAATTTTTGAGATAGCTTCTCATTTCGAACATCGCTAGGCCCAACTAGAAAATCGATGTATACAAATCAGCTACAGAAATGTTTTGGCGTTTGGTGCGGGGTTCATATTTATTTACTATTATTACTACTAAAATAAACTTGTAACAACGCTTCACGCGGTGACACAGACAAACATGCTCGTTTTCATTTCATTTTCAATGTTTTAACTCATGAATCCTCCGATAGGTGGCGCCACCATCCCAGCTCAGGCACGTAAACCACGTAAACGCGATCCCGCTAAACTATAAGACGCCGTCCACAACGAACATTTGCTGCACAGTAACGCCAATCCTTTAACAAAGACAACGGCCTTGCTGTCTGTGGGAGCACACAACACGCTCTCAGAGATCAGCGAGGCCCAGAGAGCTGAGCAACACAGTCGCGGGCAGAAGATTACTCGATCGGGTGGGATAACTACCTCCTGGAGAACGCCCGGGAGCAGGACCGGACGGGGAGCTAGAAGAACAAGTCCCCCTGAGCGACGAGGAAGATCATCGTCTACCCGCTGCCAACGAACACGGACCCGGAAAGGGATGCGGGCAGGCGAGCGGCGCTGGCCTGTCAACATAAGAAGACGAAGGGCGCAGTCTACGTGGACGCCGCAAGGCATCCGGGAAGACGCAGCAGTGGTGGTCAGCGCTACTACCGGTAAAGTACTAACAGCAAGCACCGTGCGCGCCCGAACAGCCGGCCAGGCAGAGGAGGCGGCGATAAGCCTGGCCACAGGTAGGCCGGGCACGGAGCGGCTAGTGAGGTCCATCGCGGCTTGGCGGGCTGCTCGCGGCGCCGCTGCAGGGCCAAGCATCGCCCTCAAATGGTTCCCAGCCCACATGGGACAACTGGCTCCCGACATCGAGAACCGCAACGAGGAGGCTGTGGGCCGTGATCTCATCACGTGCCGGACCGCGGCAGCCCGTCACCCCGAAACCAGCGGTGAAGAACGAAAAGAAGACCTCTTTCCCCTCACTGACTACGGAGGGATCCTGGAGAGAGGCCAGGAGAGCCTTTCCGCCCCCGCATCGTGAACTGTCACGTGCGGAAGCAGTGACGCTCCGACAACTGCAAACAGAATGCGTGCTAACGCCTGCATTGGCCCGGCACGTATGCCCCGACATGTTTGTGGACGCAAAGTGCAGCGTGTGCGAACGTGAACTAGCCACCCTCTGCCACATCATGTGGGGCGGGTGTAACAGTGGTGTGAACAATGGGAATGGGCAGTGCCAGGACGCCACGTATCCCGAAGAGGTGGGAGCATGGATACGCTCCGAAGACTCGACCACGCAACGAAGGGCCATCCAGCGGCTTGAGGAGGCCCTGGCAAAGCAAAGGAGAAAGGGAGCCGACGCCCCAGACAACGGGAGCGGAGGAGCCCGAGTAGCCGGAGCACAACGTCCTCAATATCTAGGCCCTGGGACTACAGGTCTATTAGCCATAGTCTTCAGATAGGGAATACCCGCGCCCTGCGTGGCCGGTGACTTCCCGCACGCCGGATGCGTGAATAAATGTTGTCTCTCTCTCTCTTTAACCACCGGTATTACGCTACCAGTAAACTTTAACTGTCACGCGCGCGCTTGTGTAGATTCACCCTTCCCTATACAAAACCGGCCATGATTGTTGCTCCACAAACGCTGTCGGCATTGGAATGCAGCGCTGCTGGTTCTGTACGTTTCAGCTCCGCACAGCCCGTAGGAAAGGGTTTTTTCGTGCTCCACTGACGCCATCGGCTATTTTCGAACAAACCGTCGCAGTCTTCATTTTTCTAGTGAAACGGTGCCGAGTATCGAGATTTACCCTTTGTAGCAGCGCGCCCCCATTTTAATGATGGATCGCGACTGCACTCGACACACCCCAGGACCAGAGACGCCGACAAGCCCAGCCCCTGCTGCTAATGTCTTTCGCACCTAGAACCGGTAGCACACAGAGGCAGCTTTCTTGTCGCTCCGAATTCAAGCTTGCACTCGGGAGAAAAATACCGCTGTGCTTCGAAGGATCTGCCTACGGGCGATCTGGCTTGGCGGGTTACGCGAGGGCGCCAGTCTGGCGCAGCTAATAACCCGCGCAAAAGGGCGCCATTACGGGCGATATGTAACGGCGACGTGTAAACAAACTAACGCAAACGAGAAGTCGGCGGCGCCTCGACCACAGCGTGTGTGCGCGCACGGCGGGAGACGCACCAGCTCATGTGCGCAAACATCCGTTGCTCGGTGCCTAGAACAACGTGCCTTCTTTCACTCGTCGCGAGACAGAAAGCAGGCCGAGAGAGCAGAAGCAAATACGTAATGGCGGCAGAAAAGCAAAGAAGGCCGCGGCCTTGTTCGGGGCTTCCTCCCCATGCTCGCCCACTCCCCGAGGGAGTGTGTGCGCACTGCAGGTGTTGACGGTGAACTGCGATAGCCAGGGCACACGTCGAGTTGTTGGAGCTGGCATTCGAGACGACGAATACCTCAGAAAAAATGGCTACAATGACCGGTTCTGCCTTTGTGAATGATGCCTCCGGTAATGTCAGTCACGTGGTCGTAAATTGCACGAAGCCATTCGGCGTGTTGAGGAATATCTGGGAGAACCTGTGTCTGAAAAATCACTCTACGAGCAATGCACGCTGTTCGTATCTCACGCTGTGAAGCGCGTCGGCATTTATACATTAGCCATCGAAGATTCCAGCGTTATCGCTAGCGGCCGGCTAAGTTCCAGAACAAACTCCAATGTAATTTCATCGCCCGACTATTCAGATGCTTCCCGATCATTCGGGCCTGGTTTGCGTTAGGCGGCAGCTAGGCTACACGTGTAATCAGGCGGTAACATTCATAACGAAAGCTGGTGCGCACGAAGAGGAATACGCTCTCATTGACCCGTACGCGTGGCCCGAAGATATAAATTTTTAAGCACTTCTAGAAAAAAGTTTATTGAAAGCCTCGTCCTGGTGCGAGTTGGCAACCTGGGGCAGACGCCTGTCCGCTTTGGTTGGGACTTCTTCAACTAAGAGGCTTTCCGAGAAATAGGCGAAGCTTTTCGTTGTACAGTTTCGTGCGACGATGCACAAATGGCCATTGAGCGACAGCTCTCCTTTGGGCAGAACTACTGTTCTGTATGGTCCAAACATAAGACATCACAGGATGCTAAAAACAGTGGTGAAACGGCTGAGACTAAATTGGGAGCAGTTTTTGGAGCAGCAACTTTTCAATTTTGAAGCACGAGAACCTTGCTTCGGAGCAGTTAGCGGCATTTAATATGTCGTCGCGGGAGCTTGAAAATAGAAATTTTTAGCAACATGGGGCCACATTTTATTTGGTATATAACAAACCTGCAACAAGTTTTGAAGGAAGTTCTTTAACAGATTATCGCCAGGCATGAACTGCACGACCTTCTAACATACCAGGTGACCTATGCAGTTCTCGTAACAAACATGTGAAATATGAAAAAAGGGGGGTTTTCTTGAAAACTAGGTTCCCCGGAAACATCTAAAAAGAAATTCTGAAAATGTGAGTGCAGAAGAATTAGGTTGCGTAACACGGGTCCTTCATTTTAAGAAAAGCCTGACATGGCAGCGTCAAGAACAGACAACAAAAGTGCGCCTCGGGC